GAGCTTGTTAATTTGTGGTTGGAACTTTTTAGGGATATGCTGGGGGAAAAAGCAGCTCAGGAAGACATAGCTTGTTTAAGCAATCTCTCTACTGGGGGGAGGGGGAAGAAAAAAATGGGTCAGGCTCAGGACACTGTAGGAGAGCACTTTATCTAAATGAGATGGCAGCAATCAGCAAGCTTTTCAGACTTTCTTTCTTTCTTTCTTTCTTTCTTTCTTTCTTTCTTTCTTTCTTTCTTTCTTTCTTTCTTTCTTTCTTTCTGTCATTTGGTTCGCTTAGCAACCATGTCACTTAGCAACCATTTCACCAGAACCAATTGCAGTCATTAATTGAGGACTATCTGTATGTGCATATCATGGAATTAGAAGAATTTAAAAATATAGAAATCGTTTAAAATATGTGAAAAAGCTGAGGCCTGGAAAAATGTTGTTCTAATTTCCTTATATTCTCCCCTTATTTTTTCAACTTATATGAGGGATATATATTGAGGGAATCTGGATTGGAAGATGAGCATAGCTTTAAAATTGGAAGAAAAGACATCAATAATCCATGCTATGCTGATGATGCTCCTCAGGTAGTTGAAAATGCAAATGATCTGCAAGCAGTAGTAATGAAAGTCAAGGACCAAACTAATGATAATAGGTATAACAACCAGCCTTAGATTGATAATGAAGATATTCAAGGGTGGTTAGCTTCTGCTTTTTATGATCAACCATCAACAGTAAAAACACTCAACAAATACAGCACAGACTAATAGCTGGTAGAGTAGTCATGAAGGCTTTGGAAAATATATTCAGATGACAGGTATATTGGCACTGTGGAAGACTGAGTGAAGTGGTATTGTGGGGTGCCAGATTTTCACCTCACATGGAAAGTGGTTTGCTGCTGTTCCCACTTCTTCTACCCAGCACCAAGAAGTTCTCTAATAGCCCATCTGCAAAGACCCGAGCATACGCAGGTAAGGATGTCCTTGGCACAAGTGGAATTTAAATTATAAAAAGCAATCCGGACACTGGCATCTTGTGGGGCTTTACCATATTCCACCCAGAAGGTGCTACACTCCATTTTGTTGGCTGGGGTGTTGTCTGCTGCCTTGAAG